TGTCCCGCACTTTCAACTCGGGAACCACAAAAGCTAGGCGGCTGAAATTTTGGTATAGTGTTTCCCACCAACGGGTGACGCGGCAAATTTAATGCAGCCTTCCCGTACCCGCCGGTATCTCGCACGGTCCCGTTAAAGTTTTTTACGGGTAAATTAATATCTCAGGAATCACGGAATCTAGAAGGCTGAAATTCAAGCGTAATGACCCCCTGCCTACTCTCAACCTTGCCTTTTCAAATTCAGCGTTCTCGCGCTGTCGGGTACCACCTACGGGCTAGTGAATGTTTTTACGGGTAAATTGGTTTCTCAGGAACCACGGAGTCTTGGAAGCAGAATTTAGGGTAATAACTCCCTGTCCACGCTCAACCTTGCCTCTCTTCAAATTCAGCGTTCCCTTGCTGTTGAGTATCACCTACGGCCTTGTGATAATTTTGGCGGTTAAACTGTTAACTCGGGAATCACAGAAAGATATTCACCCTTCAAGGTTTCGAATTCAGTTTTCATGCGCTGGTGCGTGAAATTTTCAATTATTTTCCAATTTTTGAACTATTTTTGCATAGATAAAAGTACAAAGCAGTGAAAATCATTGATAGGCAATCGTTCGATGGGCTGAATTGCACGGAACGCATGATCGTACCAGCTGGTCCTACGCGTTGCTATTTATTGTGATTAGGATTAAATTATGCCTATAATAATTACGATTGGAATTAAATTATGGCTAAGCCACTTATTGCTTTCGTTGTTCAGGTGGTGCTGGCCACAAACATTGCTGAGACGTCCGTAACAATTGATGGGATCAGTTACGTAATTGATCCTGGTTTTAGTAAACAAAATTCGTTTGATGCCCGAAGTGGTGTGGAACATTTACACGTTGTTACCATTTCAAAGGTTTGTTTATACCTCCTATTCTTCGGCTAGCTTTGTTAACATTGATATGTGAATGCAAAAATTTCTAGTCTTACGCTGATGTGGCGCAGTGGCATAGGACACTGCTCTCCTGCTGTAATTCAGGAATTCCACTTCGCCAGTGAGACAAGCAACCAGTTCCTTTATGATTCCTTCACTAGTTTCGATTGCAAATTGGTACTGCTACATGTCACGGAGTTCAATCCGCCATCAATATGCCTTCAAAGAACTCTTGAGATGGAAAGCCATTGACTGTCTTGTTGGTTTTTGTTGGTACGTGTTAAACTGGGGATTCTTCACAGTGCCTTCCTCTCCTACAAAATTGAAAACTGAAGGAATTTTGGCTTATATTCTGGCGCCTTACGTGACATCTTTTCATCTTAGCGCACCTTCTCACTGTCAGCCTAACTGGTCTCCTTCTGCAGATGATGTGAACCGAATCATCGAAGATTAGTCTTCTTATGAAGTAGGTTTTTGCTTTTCGGCATTTTTCTTCCTTCCTTCTGGACAAAAGTACTAGGTGCATCGTATCTGTGCCCCTCACGTGCGGCTGTGTTTATTCATAGTTCGCAGATCTGATTATGACTTTTGGATTCATTGGATTTCTTAAATTTCATGAAATTTGTAAACGATTGTTAAAATAACAGAATTGGTGCTTCCAGGCTGCAGCTAATCAGCGAGCTGGGAGAGCTGGTCGAACTGGTCCCGGAAAGTGTTTTCGTCTTTACACAGCCTGGGCTTATAAAAACGAATTGGAGGATCAGCCTATCCCAGAGGTAGTTTTTTACTCTCTTTATATTCGCTTTTTGAGGGTTGAAAAAAAAGCAGCCGAAGAGAAGAAAGTTATTTTTTGGTTTTCAGATCCAGCGCATTAATTTGGGAAATGTTGTTTTAATGCTAAAAAGCTTGGGAATCCACGACTTGGTGCATTTCGATTATTTGGACCCACCGCCTCAAGAAACTTTAGTGATTGCCTTGGAGCAACTGTACGCGCTTGGAGCGCTGAATCATCGCGGCGAACTGACGAAACTAGGACGACGAATGGCCGAGTTTCCGTGTGATCCATGCATGAGTAAAATGATTATTGCATCAGAAAAGTACCTTTTTTATCTTTTATTTTTTTTAGCAAACATTACGAAACCTGATGGGCTGGGCGTATCATTCGCGTTTTTGATAAGCACTGAGCATCACATGCTGGGGAATGCACACGATCTGTGAAAGCATTCCAGTTTCATCGCTAATATGGGATGAGCACGTTGGTCTTGTGCAGAGACTTTTTAAACAGTTTTTTGCTGGAAAAACAAAATTTGTTTTGTGGGTATTTAAAAACTTTGATAGATAGCTGAGCACGTCGTTCGCGTTTTGTTATTTTTTATGCTACATAATATCTTTAGAAAAAAAGAGTGTCGGCAAAAGCACGACGTTGCGGAGTAATTCTTGTCGTGCAGTAAGTCGAAGTTCATCACTACCGATGTGATAACCAATCTCTGTACAATTCCTTTCGATGGTAAATTGGTGCTGGTATATGCCAGAAACTCAGACCCGCTATCAGCTTGCTTGTAAGCAACCCTCAGAAGAGGAAGCTTTCGACATCTTGTCAGCGAGTGGTTGCTGGTGGCATTTGCTATAACTCGGTCTTCCTCACGACTGCCTGAGCTCCTCATTGGGAGCGATATGCGGAGGGGATTTTGAAGTGTGACTTTGTTATTATGCCTGATAAAGCGAGCTTTCTGGCAGAATGCAGACGAAGGAGGAAAAACGTGCAGCAATGCGGTATGTCCGTAGTGACCACTCGCAAGCATCGTTATAGCATGGCTGTACTGTCAGCAAAAATGGAACATATCGAATGAGAGGGGCTGTAAACAATAATATCCAGAGCCTGATAACACATCCAGTTAGCTCTGATATGAAGAATAACCTGACTGTTAGCAGGGTGGTTATTTCCAGATGAAATTGATGCTGGCTAAATCCAGGAATCTACGAAACAGTCACTCTAGAGATTGAACGGCCTTGTATGGAATAAATGGTTTCGTTTTAAAAAAAGTGCATGAAAATCTATAGGCATAAAGCATTTGTGACGAAATTTTTTGTCAGTAGAAATTATTTTTTTTAAGATACGGCTGCTCGGAAGAAATTATCACCGTGGCTTCGATGCTATCCTGTAACGCAGCAGTGTTCTATCGGCCCAAAGCATTGATTATACATGCCGATGCTGCTCGAAAAGGTTTTTGGATTCCCGGCGGTGATCATCTCACCCTGCTAAATGTTTACAATCGTTGGCGAGATAGCAATTATTCTTCACAGTGGTGAGTTTTTTTCTTTTTTTATTCCCAAAACATTTATAAAAACTGGTACATTTGGTAAGTTTATCATTTCATGTTGACTTAATTGATCGATACAGTCACAAAACTGCAAACATTACTTTGGTTTTTATTTCAATGGAAAAATCGTTCTTTTTTTTTTTTTACGATCTGTAAATTTTGTTTCGATTGCAAGCTACGACCTAAATGGAAGGCGAAACCTGAGATCTCTCTCCAGGGCAGCAAATTTTGGCTGTTGCTAATATACCGAGTGCCCTCGTTTTTCATTCAAAATAAATTCGAAAGGGATTTCGGCTTCTGATAAATTATTTTTTGGTACAATTTTTTTTTGGTAAATTAGTTTTTTTAATTTTGGTATTTTTTGTTTTTTTGCTTATATTTTAGTTTTTTGG